TTCCTCCTGTCCCAATACCATGTTCAGCCTTCATTCTGGCTTTGGTAGTTCCTCGCGGTTGCCTTGACCTTGGTCACTCCCCAGGCACCTTTTAAAATGGATCAAAAGGGAGATCAAATGATATGTTAAATTTCAAACTAACTGCACCTGTAGTAATCCACTTTCTAATGCATTACATGATAGCAAGGCTATTTATATCCCTGTAGAAGGCCATGTGTATTTCCCCATCACTTTTTGCTTTTTATTTTTAAAACCTGAAGCAGCTTAAATTGGGTAAAAAGGGAGACCAAATGATAAGATAATACACTTAGACCTAAGTATATCTGTAATAATTAACTTTACAATGCTCTCTGTTTGGCCTTTAAGACCCCAGATGTTATTCCTTCTGATAACTGGCTACCATCTAGTTTCTTCACTATACTTTGCTATAGTACCCCTATCTTCAGTTTGATATCCATTTTGACCCATTTTAAGTTTGTTCTAGTTTTCTACTTCCTTTTAGATTGAGTATGATCATTAGTTTTTTTGTGCCAACATGGCACCTGTAGAAAGATATGAGTGGAGTTTAACCTGTCAATCAGGTTGGAGCTTGATGACCTCTTTTGGAGGCCTGACCAAGAGAAATGGGTCTCAGAGACCAGCCTCTTTCTCTTTCTCCTTAATGGTTGGACCAGAGCGCTGCCCAAGTTAGCTGCCCTGCCTCCCCATGTGTACTGTGCTACCTGCAGGCCGAGTCGACCCATGGACTGTGTCACTGTGCTGTGTTGTTCCACGTGGCAGTGCTGCCCCACCTTGCCATGTCTGCTGCCTGGTGGGCTTCTCCACTCGTCTTGCCACCACTCCAGACACCGCACCTCCCACCACTTCGCATTGTTACACCATGAGGTTCCACGCCTCTACTATGTCTCGACATCTCATCTTCCTACTGTTTCTGCTTCCTTGACCTTGGACCAGTGGCTGGCATAAGTTGGAAGGACCTTCAATATATTAACTGTCCCACAAAAGTGAGTTACACTGAGCTCTCTGTAGTGCTGCCTTGACTAATTTGCTGTTGCATTCCTTTTCACTATATAAATCATTTATCTATCTATCTATCTATCTACCTACCTATCTATCTAGTGTCCTTGGACTAATTTGCTGTTGCATTCCTTTTCACTATATAAATCTATCTATCTATCTATCTATCTATCTATCTATCTATCTATCTATCTA